ATGTACAAAAAAACACCTCCTTCTAATGTACTAAAAACTACCTCCTTCTAATGTGCTAATAACAACCTCTAATGTACTAAAACTACCTCCCTCTAATGTACTAAAAGTACCTCCCTCGTATGTACTAAATACTACCTCACTCTGATGTACTAAAAACTAACTCACCCAAATGTACCAAAACTACCTCTATTTAATGTACAAAAACTACTTCTAATGTACTAAAAACTACCTTCTTCTAATGTGCTGAATACCACCTCACTCTAATGTACTAAAACTAACTCCCTCAAATGTACTAAAACTACCCCTTAATGTACTTGTCATGTACTTTCTTGTACTACTTTGTTGTATATCATTTTCTTCTCGTTTTGTCAGTTGGTTCCCCTTGGCTCCTGTAGTATTAAACTCTGAACTACCTACTCTACCCTAAATGTACTAAAACCACCTCTCCTTTACCTCTAATGTACTAAAAACCACCTCCTTCTAATGTACTAAAAAATACCTCCTTATAATGTACTAACACCATCTCTAATGTACTAAAAACTACCTTTAATGTACTAAAAATCACCTCCTTCTAATGTACTAAAACTACCTCTAATGTACTAAAAACTACCTTCAATGTACTAAAAACTACCTCCTTTAATGTACTAACACTACCTCTAATGTACTAAAAACTACCAATATGTACTAAAAAAAACTCTTCTAATGTACTAAACTACTCCTTCTAAATAAAAACTAACACTAACCTCTCCTCTAGTCTAAAAATGCACGCTATCTAGATACTCCTTCTCTGTACCTGCTTCCCTTGCAACTGACATCGTACCTGTCTTTCTCTACTCTGGAAACTCTTCCATTTTAATACTTCTCCCTTCTTTCTTTCTTCTTCTTTTTTATATATATTTTGTACCTGTCTTATATCGGATATGTTAATTTGAGCTTATCCGTCTTGCATCTATGTCTCTCTCTTAGCAGTTATTCTTACCTGAAGTTCTTCGAATTGCAATTATTTATATTATCAATCCAATTTCTTATTACATTGTGCACTTGTTCTGAAGTCGGTTTAGAAGATACGATTTGTCCCTTTCTCTTACCCTCTCAATTAGCGTTTATATCTACTATCATTATTAATTAAAATGATTTCTTACTACAATCTGCGCTTGTCCTGGAGTTGGATTTAGAGCATCTATTTGCTACTTTCTCTCTCTCTCTCTCTCTCTCTCTCTCTCTCTCTCTCTTCTCTCTCTCTCCTCTCTCTCTCTCTCTATTTCACAACTCACATACACTCTATCTATCTATCTGTCTATCAATTCTCCCTCTCCTATATAAATATGATATATATATATATATATATATATGATAATATATATATATATATATATATATATATATATATTATAATTATACCCCCCCCCCTTCTCTCTCTCTCCTCTCTCCTCCCTCCCTCCCGCTCTTCCTCCCTCCTCTATCTCCGTCCCTCCTCTCCCCTCTTCTCCTCCCTCTCTCCTCCCTTCCCTTCCTCCTCTCCCCCTCCTCCCTCCACGCCCTCCATCCTCCTCCCTCCCTCTCCCTCTCCTCTCTCTCCTCCCTCCCTCTTCCCTCTCCTTCCTCCTCTCTCTCTCTCCTTTTATTTACTTGAAGTTCTAGAAGTCTCTTTATCCCTTAGCTTGGATTATCTTGGGCTTGGAGGTGAGACAGCGCTTGTCATGCTCGCGTCGGGAAGGCTTCCTTATCGGATGGGGTTTTAGATCAAAGGGGGGGGGTGCATCTTTCGCCTTTTGTCTCTGTCTTGAGGTCTTTTAATGCGGTTATTTTTTTTTGGGGTGGGGGTAGGGGGGAGGGAAGGGGGGTGTTTGTGTGTTTTGTTTTGTGTTTTGGTTTGTTTGACTTTGGGTGGGTTATAATGTATGAATCTCTCTCTGCTCTCTCTTTCTTCCTCTCTTTCTTTCTCTTCTCTCATCTCTCTCTCTCTCTCTCGTCTCTCTCTGTCTCTCCTTCTCTCTCTCTCTCTCTCTTCTCTCTCTCTCTCTCTCTCTCTCTCTCTCTCTCTCTCTCCTCTCTTCCTCTCTCATCTTTTACATTCTCCTATCTACTACTTAACTGAGAAAACACCATCCTGCTGTCACTCCCAATCCGTTAATTCTTCACTTCTCTTACACTATCTCTTCTCTCTTTCTCTCTTCATCCCACTCTCCATCTCTCGCCTAATTGATAAGCGCAGAGGCTAGCACGCAATCACACGAGCGAGATAAGACTTTTACACTATCTACAACCTCGGAAGAAACTTCACTGAGGACCGCTTGGCAGATGCGGGTTTTTAAGGCCTTTCGCTTATACGGATCCCTTCTGTACCTTTCGTGTGACATGCTTGACTCTTGACTCTTCATTCACACACACACACGCACAACACATATTTGTATATAGTATATATTATGAATATATATATATATATATATATATATATATATATATTATATATATATATATATGTGTGTGTGTTGTGTGTGTGTGTGTGTGTGTGTGTGTGTGTGTGTGTGTGTGTGTGTGTGTGTGTGTGTGTTGTGTGGTGTGTGTGTGTGTCCGTGTGTGAGTGAGATGGAGAGAGAGAGAGAGAGAGAGAGGAGAGAGAGAGAGAGAGAGAGAGACGAGAGAGAGAGGAGAGAGAGAGAGAGAGAGAGAGAGAGAGAGAGAGAGAGAGAGAGAAGAGGAAAATGAAAAACAACAAAATGAACATCGACTGTTAGCAACGACGGCAGTGCCCAAGCAAAGTTCACAAAGGTACTTGATAACCCCCAAAGTTTTTTTATACTGATGCTGACACATCCTCTCTCTCTCTCTCTCTCTCTCTCTCTCGTCTTCTCTCTCCTCTCTCTCTCTTCTCTCTCTCTCGTCTCTCTCTCTCTCTCTCTCTCTCTCTTCTCTCCTCTGTCGTCTCTCTCTCTCTCTCTCTCTTCTGTCTGTCTCTGTCTTGTCTCTCTCTCTCCCTCTCTCTCTCTCTCTCTCTCTCGTCTCTCTCTGCTCTCTCTCTCCTTTCTCTCTCTCTCTCTCTCTCTCAGCTCCTTCTCTGTCTCTGTCTCTGTCTGTCTGTCTGTCTCTCTGTCTCGTCTCTCTCCCTGTCTCTGCTCTCGTCTCTCTCTCTCTCTCTCTCTCTCTTCTCTCTCTCTCCTCTCCGTCTCTCCTCTCTCTCTCTCTCTCTGCTTCTCTCTCTCGCCTCCTCTCTCTCTCTCTCTCCTCTCTCCTCTCCTCTCCTCTCTCTTCTCTCCTTCTTTCTCTCTCTCCTCCCTCTCTCTCTCCCCCTCTCTTTCTTCCGTATCTCCTCACCCACCGTCTTAAAGAAAAAACATTCTGAAATATCAAATCATAATGCATTTATTCATAATGTTCCGTTCCAGTGGTTCGCTATTGTAGATGGGTGTTACCCTGTTTATTCAATGTGTTATGAGGCTGCGCCCGTTTCGCAATTCGTGATCCTACGCCTTCGATTTCTGTTTGCTAAACTTTCGTTCCGTTTTACATATCGAATGTCTTTTTTTTTTTTTTTCATTTTTTTTTAGTCCTTCCATTTTCCGTTTTTTTTTTTCGTTTTTTTTTTTTCATTTTTATAATAATTGTAGGCTGTTCTTTTTTTTCTTTTTTTCTTTCTTTCGTAATTATTTTTCATTATCAGTTTATTTATCGTTTCATCTACCTTATCATTCTTTTTTTTATATTTTTGTTGATTTTTTTTTCGCTAACTTTGTTAAGAATCAATATTGTTTTTGTCTATTTATTTTTTCTTGTTTTTATGACGGTTAAGGGGGCGGGGGATGTAGTTGCAGATTGCCAATGTTGTGGGCACCGCGGAATTGGGATCGAGGGTCAAGTATTGGAGAGAAGGGTCAAAGGTGAGAGCAATGACGGGGCAATAGAAAAAAAGAGATATGTAGAGAAGAGGGCAAAAACGAATAGA